CTAAGCGCTTTCCCAGAAGTTATACCTGTGCAGTACTGTGTGGATTACAAAACCTTTGTGCCTCCAATGCGAAATGGGAAAATCTCAGGAAGCACTGTGAGCCCCATTCCCTGCGCTGGTGGCCCTACTCGGGCAGGGTGCAGGAGCTACCCTCTTCCCTCCTGGCACAGCTGTCCTCCAGGACCTATTCCACACAGCTCCACACTCCCTGCTGCTCAAGGAACTCTCAGAAGCCTGGCACTGCTGGCTAGAGTCCCCTTCCCGAAATATTTCACGCCCCCTCTAGTGCCAAAGAGTCCAGAGGGGAGGCTAACTAGGAGCTGGGCGTGATGACACATGCCTGTTACCCTGGCACTCTGGGAGCCTGAGGCAGGAAGATTCGACAGAGTTCAAGGCTGGTCTGGGCTATATGGTAAATTCAAGACCAGCCTGAACTACACAGCGAGACCCTGTCTCAAACAACAACAACCCACCCCCCCCTCAATCTTTGGTGCCCTAGGATTTATCCCCAGGGGAACCCTTAGGGTTAGCAGTGGCCCTTCCTCCTACTGCCTGGATAAATCCCCAGGCCTTAGAGATGAGCTGGGGCTGTGGGCCCAAGGCAGTCAAGATGGGGGCACCGGGGCCACACTGCCACTTTCTGTGGCACAGGTAGAGCTGGCTCACTGCTCCTCGGTCCATGTCACTTCCCCCAGAAGACTGTTGACTCTGCTGGTTGCCAGTCCAGCAAAAGCAGCCCTACACTCAGCTCCTTGGTCTTCCCTGGAAACCGCCCAGCAGGGCCGCTGCCTGAGCCAGCAACGCTTCTGCAGGTTCCTGCCCGGGTGGGCGGCAGGGCTCGGGCAGGGGAGCAGCTGAAGAGCGGCTCTCACGACTTTTGCTTCCTGCAAGGCCCAACACCAGTCAGAGTTTAGCAAGTGCTGTGTAATCAATGCCAGAAGTTAAAATCCATTACGAAACAAAGCAACAACAACAAAACAGACTTTTGAGGATTAACAAAAGATTGCTGAAGGTTCGATATGAAAAGATATTTAATGAGTTTTGTTTTCCTTAGGAAGAAAATCTCCAAGCCAGGTGTGGCGGCATAGGCCTATATAATCTCAGTTCGAGGCTGGGGATGCTGGCAGACACCTGTAAACCCAGTACAGGAGCTTTGGGACTCACATTCTAACCAAGCCACCTGCTTCTGAAATTAAACAGAAGTGGCTTGGTGGAGCAAGTGTGCAATCCTGGTACTCTGGGAGAGAGGCTGAGGCAGGTGGATTTCAAATTTCAGCCCAGCCTGGATAGATTTTGGCCACCAAACCTATTTCTACATCAGCAAAGGCTGTTGGCCCCCCCAGTGGGGCAGGCAGGGGAGCTGGCTGCTGGGTGAGTGGGAGGTGAAGTAGGGAGCTCAGAGTCCAGGCAGAAACCTTCAGCCTGCTCAGATGCCTGCCTGGGCTTCTCTCTTCTTTCTTAATCTTGTGTACTTTTCCCATTCAGGTTCCTGGTATTCCACTCTTTCTCACTGGGAGAGGAGAAGGCAGTCACTGACATGTTAGTATAAAAGTGTAATAACATTGAACTTCTCACATGATTTTCTTCCCCATGGGAACCTTAGCTTTTCCATCACTCAACATCCACTCCTGAGCTACTTCTGTTAGGACCTGAGCTAGGCAGTGGGATTCAAAGATGAGAAGACACCACCCCTGTCCTCAGGCAGGTACCCCACTACGTTTGAGCCATGTTGTGGGGACAGGAAAAATAACATTGAACTTTCAGGGTCAGAGCCTCACTGAACACTTGGGGAAGGCTGGGCGATAAGGAAAACTTGGGTGACACTTGAGAAATCAAAGCCTTACTTAGGTGCATAGGTTGCCATGGTCACCCGGATGCAGGCCTAGATCTACTTTGGAAAATAGCGTTTGTCTTGTGTTTGAACCTGAGGTCTGGATTCACAGTGTAGCTCAGGATGAGAAGGGCTGGAGAAGAGGAGATCTTATGGGGTGGGAGCGGAAATGATGCAGTCTCTGATCCTGACCTACAAAGGAGCAGTAGGACCAAGGGCAATAATCACAACCACCTAGTTCGCCTATAATCCCAGCACTACGGAGGCTGAGGCAGGAGGATCACTGTGAGTTTGAGGCCAGCTTGGGCTACATCTCAAGACCTTGTGGCTGGGGATTTAGCTCAGTGGTTCCGATGCCTGCCTTACAAGCACAAGGTCCGGAGTTCGATCCTGGTACCAAAAACAAAAAAAGCCCATCAAGACCTTGTCTCAAAAACAAAACAAAACAAAACAAAACAAAACCACCAGGAGCTCACCTCAAGCTCTTATCAGACAGAACCTATTCCTGCAACTGTGCCCCAGGGTCCCCACTTTACAGATGGGTTGGAATACTCCTGGTCCACTCAACTCGGATTATCAGAACTCCTGTTGAGCCACAGCTCTAACCTCTAACCAGGGGCTCCAAAAGGGACTCTGTGAGACATTACCTGCCAGCACAGCACCCTGTCCCCTCCTCTGGAGACCTCTTGCACCTAAAAGGAGGAAGCTTAAACCTATAAGCACCAAAGAAAGTAAACCTCCAAAACAAACACTCAGCCTTTGAGCATCAAGTAACCTACTTGCCCCTCTCTCCCTAATTTCTAAAATTAATTAAATTTATTGGTACATTTTAGGTGTACATAACAATCACATTCATCATAGGGCCTCCTTCCTTATTTTGCTGTACTGGGGACTGAATCCAGGGCTTTCACACTGAGCTACTTCCCCAGCCTTCTTTTATTTTTTACGTTATGACAGGGGCACAGTAAATTGAAAAGTTGGTCCACTAGGCTAGAACTTGAGATCCTCCTGCCTCAGCCTCCCAGAGCACTGTGAATATAGGCATGTGCTACCACATCTGGTTTCTACCTGCTTTCTTATTGCTCAGGTCTTCCTTGTGGTCAGGAAGCGGGGATCAGAATGGAGGTCTGCTCTGAATCCTAGGCAGTGTTTCTCAGGAGGAAGGCTAACCCACCCTTTCCCAGCCTAAGAATGCAAAACCAAAGGATGAGGGATGTAGAGAGTGACAAAGACAAAGAGCCACAGGCAGTGATGGTCCTGAGGCCATAGGAAAGGCCCATTAGGGCTTTTTTGGGTTTTTTTCTTTTTTTTTTGAAGCAAGGTCTTGCTAAGTAGCCCAGACTGACCTCTAACACAGCAATCCTCCTGCCTCAGCCTCCCCAATGCTGGGATTACAGGTGTGCACCACCACTTGAAGTTCCCACCTGTCACCTCTATGAGCCTCAGCTTTCCTATACATAAAATGGAGACCAGAACTACAAGATGAGAGCCCCTCATCCTTGAGAAGTTTGAATTAACCAGGTAGGGGCTCCCTACATTTGGAAAACTAGGCAGGCTCCTGGGAAAAGCAGAGCCACAGCAGGACCCTGAGGGAAGGGAGGGTCTGGGTGGATAAGATCTGGGAGGAAGAAGGGTGAGTTTCCTTTAAACCAATTTAGCCTAGTAAGGAGGGAAAGAGAAGACCCCTGGGCCAAAGTCTGGGACTCCCCTGATGCCTGACAGGAAGATCTGTTTGAGATTCCAAAGATTATGGGGTACCTGAGAGTTCACAAAACTGGTTCCATTTTAGCTAGGTGTAGTGGCGCTCACCTGTAATCCCAGCACTTGGGAGGCTGAGGCAGGAGGATCACCCGAAAATTCAAGGCCAGCTTGGACGACATAGTGAGTTCAAGGCCACCCCAGCTACAGAGTGGGACTATCTCCAAACACAAGGGGAGGGAGAAAGGAAGCCTGGTTCCAGCTGGAATAAGCACAGGCTGGAAGTATCCTGAAAACTGTGTAAACTAAGATGCACATCATGGATTGGCAGTGCCTGGTTCCTACGAGAGGCAGGGCCTGAACCAAGCGTTGGCGAGGGGGATGATGGAAAACGAAAGGTTTTTCCAGCCTTGCCGCCAACACAGTGTTCCCGGGCCCGCAGCAGGAACTCGGTAATTACTGACCAAACGAATGTTACTGCAAAGCCTCGGGCAGTCTTTAAGCCTCAGTGTACCTACCTGTGAGACGGCGGGTGGGGTGCGGTGTCAGATTACTGGGCCGCAGCCGGGCCTCCCACCCTTGGCGCTCCCTCGACAGCCTCCTCGGAGGCTGAGTCTCTGGAGCCTCGCCGGCTCAGGACTGCAAATCCAGCTTCCAGGGCGCCGGACCGCGCGACCCCCTGCGGTCGCTGCGGTCCCTGCAGGAGTCGGGCGCGGGCGCGGGCGGAGCAGTGTCCACGCGGGCAGAAGGGGCGCGGGTTTCAAACGCACTGAGGAGCCGCGGCTCCGCGCCCCGCTGCGAGAGCCACACCCCGTCCCCGCCTCTCCCTCTCCGCGGGGTCCGAGCAGGGGGGTGCGCGAGGGAGGCCGCGGGGCGGGGCGCAGCGAGGAGACCCGCGCGCCCCGGGAACCTTCCAGAACCTGGCCGTCGCCCCCCGCCAGGGGCGCACAGTCCTGGGGTCTCTGCAGGAGGCGGGAAGTCACCTCCTCAGGCCACCCTCGGGGCCGGGGGAGGGGAAATGGTTGCCTCAAGGTCACTCAGCACGAGGCCGAACCAGGCTGCGGCCCAGGTGTCGCCCCCTCCCCCGCTCTACCCTCGCGGCGCGCGGCCCCTTTAAGAAAGTTGGCCCGGAGACTGGCGACTTCATCAAAGTTTAAAAACTCGTCGCAGCGCGGCGGCCGGGGGAAACAGGGCGTCGCGGCCCGGGCCGGGCGCGCGGGGGGGCGGCGG